CCTTCCCCCGGCTCCCGCGGCTGTCTGACAACCTGTCGACACCGGTTTACAGCTGTCGGACCCGGGGTTTGCTGTTTCCAAGCCGAGGTGTGTCTGCCCCTTCAGGAAAACATCTCGGCGCCTGTTTTTCCGCCCTTGGGGCAGCGGTGCTGGCGCTGGGGCGGTGACAGCCGGCGGGAATGGCCTCTCCTCCGAGGTCGGCGCTGCCTTGGCCTCCCCCAGACATCTTTGGCAGAAGCGCACCCCGGCGCCCTAGGTGCGGCGCGGAACCTGGCGTGGCGTGACACGCTGACGCGGGCGTGCCGTCTGCGGGGCCCCCACTAGGCAGTAACTGGTCACCTGGCAGTGACTGGCCTCGCTGCACGTGGGTAAGCGGGAAGCCGCAGAGCTCTGCGGGCTTTTCCCATCGTGAAAACTTTGAGAAGGGGCAGCTGAGAAGCCACTTCAAGGGGAAAGCGGATGCAGTCCACAGTGACAGGTTCCTGGAGATGGGGGTGGGACCTTTTCTTTGCTGGAAAATCACCACTGCAGCGCAAGGGAAACGTTCAGCCCCCACCGCGGTGATGGGAGAAGCTAAGTGTGGCTTGGGGAGCCCCTCCTCTGTCTGCTAGGTGCGCACACTCCGGAAGTAAACTTGCGGGGAGAGCGCCCGCCCAAGGCGACGCTGCGACCAGCCTGGGGACCGGGCGTTCCTCTTCTCCTTCCCTCTCTCTTCTCCATCCTCAGCTGGCCGGAACAGCAAGCGGACACTGCCATGACCCCACGCCCTGGTGGGGAGGTCCAGATGCCTCCTCGCCTCCCTGTGCATGGGACATCTCTAGGGCAGGCCGCTTCTGCCATACACTTGCCAGCTTGTTCCTGGCGGATGGGGGAGGGAGCGGGCCCAGGCTACCTGCCCAGGTTCCTGGGGCCACTTTTCCTCCTATCTCCTACTAAGCAGCCAGTGCCTGGCTTGTACTCCCTGCACACTGGACCCTGCAGGAATTTCACCCACGCACTCAGCTGTCAGCCCTGGTTTGGCCAGTTAGGTCCCCGGAGTTGAGGCTGGCCTCTGGGCCCGGTCCTCAGCATGCTGTGCTGCTGGTGACCTGGGCCACCCGCACACTGGACCCTGACCTGTCCCGCAACCCCTAGTTCTCCTCCAATCTCCTGGATCATGGAGGCCCAGTGACTCTTGAACCATCAGGAAGGCTCTCATTTCCCCATTTTTGGGGCCTGAGGACAGACAGGGAGTCACTGCCTATAATTAGCAACAATAACTCCATAATAGTAATTACTAATTACCAGCTCCATAATCAGGCTTTTACTTCTCTGCTCAGTCAGGTTTTCTTCCTGTTCATGCTGCCCCTTCACTCCTTCCCCTACCCCCGCCCCACCTCCACTAACTAGCCTTTGCTCACTCTAGAAACCTCCTGCAACTATCTGGACACCTTTCCTGCTTTGACACAGATTCTGGGGTGCTGGAGGTGAGCACTAACCACTCCCAATCCTGGAAGTCATTAAAGGGAAGCTTCCTCCTGCCCCCCTCTCCCCGCCCACCATCTCCCTGGCTGCCAAACCCCTCTCTC